TTTCATTCTTTCTCCATTTCTTTCTATCTATAAACTCTACTGAGGGCCATGTAAGATAAACATGTTTCTGGTTCCTAATGTGAAGATGACAATTTCCCCCAATGAATGTGTCAGTTCTAAAGGTTCCAATCTAAATACCCAGGGGAGTTTTCATTGGCCTTGGTAAACTGATGGAAAAGTTAATCTAAAGGAGAGTATTTCCAAGAATTGCCAAGGACTGTTTAGAAAGCAAAATCAATGAGAGATCTTGGGTGAGATATGAAGACACCTGGTCTTGGTCAGCTTCCCCAGAAGCAGTGCTGCAGACAGGGGTTCTTGTCCGGGGAATTTTTTTGGATGGGGAGGAGAGGAGAGGGTTTCCTCTCCTTGAGAGAGGAAGGACAGGGAATGGAAACCTGTTCACCAGTCATGTAGTCTCAGCTAGAGATTAGATTCACTCTGATCCTATGGCAGAAGTTCTGGAGGAAAAATTACACCACAAAATTCATGTCCTGTCTTTTTGTATCTTATGCCAGTGTGTCACACCTGAGGTGTGCGCTGGCTGGAGGTGGGGTGCTGCATGGTTCCCCACTGAACTGTCAGACAAAATGGCGGCCAGGTGACAGGAGCACTGGCTGGCAAAAGGGATCTGGTTGGGACCCAGTGGCATCCATTACATTATAGTCTTGGAGAAGAAGTGTTACATGCTAGCGTCAGTCACAGACTGATGCACGGATGTAGAGGTTGTGTCCAAACTTGGGATAGATGGGAACCCTCTAGCACTCTGGTTCAGGGCTTAATTATTTTCGTCTCCTCACCCAGAAACATTTGAACTACTCTTCTAATTGTCAATGTATTTTCTACCTTTGGGACAGTTTTGATACTGGGAGGGAGAGGCTGATGAAATAGAAGGTTAGGGAGAGGTGCAATGATTGGAGGTTGTGACATTGAAAATTAGGTTTAGGAGGAACAGGGATAAGACTCCATAGCCAGAGGGAAGAATTTCGGTGTCCAGTACTTTCCAGCAGGAGCAGTTCCTGGTGGTGATGACACCTAAAGTGTGACCATGTGTGTGGACCACAAGAGGAGAGGGAAGATGTCAGGAATGTGCGAGCTGCCCCTGGCATGGACTATGAAGATGTACAGAGGGGCAGTGGGGTTAGAGCGAACAAGAAGACCATGCCTAGCAGGGGTGGTGGGGGTAGCTATGGTTCGGGAAGGGCACAGCGAGACAGGGTAAATCTCTAAAGGGAACACTGAAGGTGTTGAAGGAAGAAAGGCTTGGAAGGAGCAAAGGTAGGAGAGAGACTAGGAATGGGGACTTTGCTTCCTGATCCCAAGATATGAGTGTTTGTACCAGGGAAGATTGTGGGATGTGTGGTCCCCAGGGGAAAGCCAGGCTTCCCTGTGAAAGTGCCTGATAGAGGAAATGCTTTAGGAAAATGTGGAGGGCTTGCAGAGGTAGCTGGGCCATACAACGGAGTCTAGGGTCACAGAGAAAGGAATTAGAAGACATATACTGATAGGGAGGTTCAAAAATGGAGCATTACTGCCGACTCAAAGATTTCATAACATCTAAAAAAAAACCTAAGACCTTCACTTTCTTGGCATCCGAGGTCAACTCCACAACCAAGTACTTTTTCTTTCCAAACCTTACTCAACTGGCATGTTTCTCAGTGACAATTAGAAAGCAAAGTTAATTAAATACTGCTTTGAATTTGCTTGAAGAGTTGTGTTCAGGAAAAAAACAAAACAAAACAAAACAAAACAAAAAACAAAAAGCAAAGTGTGAGTATTGAGATTGGTACACACTTGACCATGCCCTTAGAAGGTACATCACTGAGCTGCTTCCTTAGGCAGACATGCGGGTGAGAGGGAATAGCTAAACTGTCCTTCTAAGATTTGTTTCTTGGCAACAACGATGAATCTTCACACCCTTTACCCAAGACCAATGCTGAGAATAATCCAAGCACTGTTTCTTTAATGGACTAGTAGAGCCAGTAGGGATGCCTCAGGGTTAGCAGGAAAAACTGGAATCTCTTATTGAGTTTTTTTTGGAAACAGTGTTGTTTTCCTGAAACAATGAGCTTGTTGGGTGTTATGAATTATTGGTCCTTAGCCCAGTGTTTGGTACATAGTAGACTCTCAACCAATGCTTACTGAATGAACTACATTGAGGGATTTCATAAAGAGAGAATGCTTGAGAACAAGAGTGGTGAGTGCATGCGTGTGTGCGTGTAGCTACCTGCCCAAACTCTTTTCACCACTTTTTGTTTTTTTATCTTGTAAGGTAGTTTTCTTTCATTTTCTTCTTTTCATTCAGCATCCTAAAATAAGGAGCAACTGCTAAGTTAACTTTATTGCAGAGACTGGGCTTGCTAGGACACAGCCCCATACTTCCATGGTAAGTAAAGCACGTATTAATTCAGATCTTTGTCAGGCTATAAACCAGTGATTTCCAACCTTGGCTGCACATCATAATCACCTGGGGTGATAAAAATTCTGATGTCTGGTTCCCACCCCAGCAAATGCTGACTTTGTTGTCTGGGGTAGGGCTTGGGCACAGTTTTTGTTTGTTTGTTTCCCAGGAGATTTTAGTGTGTATCCAAGGTGGAGAACCAGTCATCTAAACAATTCTTTCCAAAGGATCCTGAAGATCACTGGGGATGAAAGACCGCCCTCTGATGGTTTTTCCACCTGAGTCATAATCTATTTAACTTGGTCATTCTCATGCTACTCTTTGGTCTTGGGTTGAGCTCCTGCTTTTAATCTTATTTTGCTGTCTGGCTGATTTTGATCTTCTTATGCTGGGGCCTCCAAAATCCTTTGTAAGGAATTAGAATTTAAACTCTATTCCTCTATGTCCTAAGGTGCACCCTTTGTGAACTACAGTTCACAAAACAGTTGCTGAGATCAAGTGCACAGCTTCATGGCCATGAGTGGAAGAAACAGGAAATGTAATCCTCAGCTTGTCATAAACCGTGTATGCTAATTTTATTAGAGAAATTATCATTGAGAAACCAAAATTGTTTTACTTGAAATGCAAAGATAATGACTAGGGAGAGGCAGAGAGAGACAGAGAGAGAGCTATAAATTAAAGATCTCAACAACTCCTGCTACATATGCTTCCTGGTTCCTTTCCTAGCCACCTCTGTCTCTCCAAAATCCAGGTAAGTCCTTTCTTTAGCTTCAGCTTAAGACGTCAGTGTTTTGGGAACACTGATGTTTGTTGATTTGAAAGAATTACTTTCATTGTGCATAATTTTCCTTGGGCTGGTTTTATTTAATTCAGTGCCTACATAGTCATGACAATGTATCATCATGTTGTTAGACTGTAAGTTAATTGATTTTATTTCTTTTTAAAAAAGTTTTTTAGTGTTTTATTTATTTTTGAGAGAAAGAGAAAGAGAGAGAGACAGAGAGAGAGAGAGAGGAAGCACAAGTGGGGGAGGGGCAGAAAAAGAGGGAGACACAGAATCTGAAGCAGGTTCCAGGCTCTGAGCTGTCAGCACAGAGCCTGATGTGGGGCTCGAACTCACGAACCGCGAGATCATGAACTGAGCCGAAGTCAGACTCTCAA